GTGTGTGTGTGTGTTCGGAAGTAAGCAAACTTTGTCATCTATTTTCAATTTAGCAACCAGGGAAGCTGGGGTGCCGAAATTTAGGGCATATTCCCGCCGTATGTGTCACCCTCCCATTTTAAAATATTCGCTCACACATTCCCAGATCTCGAGTACGGATTATCGAAAAAAATATGCAGATTTCTTTGGTGGGAAACGATTTCGTGAACCAGATCAGGTAGAAAGCAGCAACTTTGCGTGACTATTCTCTGCACGTATATGAGCTGAAAATTTCAAATTCAGCTATCGTACGCGTTCGTACCACGCATACAGTTACGTCAAAGTTCGCAGTTGACACTGTGCTAACTCGAAAACTAGCAAGAAAATAGCAACTGAAATTTCGTCAGAATATTTATTGTTCATACGAAAAATCGTACACCTATACTGAGTTTCGATTTGTACTTGCGTTTAGGGCACTTCAAAGATATTTGTAGCAAAGTGGCTATTTCGCTTACCGGACAAGCTGCGAAGATGAAACTTTGCACGGATGTTTTGAGTTTGCGATAAAATTGAGTGTTTTTTCTGTACTCGCGTTTAGTCGCAATTCAGTTGGAAGTGAAGTTCCTGTACGTACACATGAAAAACACTCAATCTTACTGCAAATTCAAAAGCAAGTGAATTTTTCAGATATCATAATCCTTTTTTTTCCAACTTCTTTCAAATCTGCATTTTTTCAGTGAACGAACATTCACCGGAAAAATGACCGTGCTTCATTACAAACCCAGGCTGGAACGTACCGGTGAGCTGGTACGATCATGCGTCTTTGCACCAAACTTCAACTAATTAGGTGAACTGCATGAATGGTTGTTTTATTACACCCACCTTGTGCGCTCAGTACCGTAAATCATCGTAAATTTTGCATAAATGAAAATAAACAATTTCTGTTTAGCGGTCGTTTTTTGAAAAGGCCCAGCTGTACAGTGGGAGATTTTCCCGCTAAAAATTTAAGTGCTTGTACACGAGAACCCCGCCTATCTGGAGGCTGAACCTGAAACCTTTAAGTTGTATTTGGATCGAGAATATTCTCCTAAAATCTCAGCTTTCCAGCTCTTCTGCTTTCTCAGTTAGCAATTTTCCCGTCAAAACTTTCACCCTCTCGTACGCGGGGCCCAGACTTGCGTGAGACTTGGTACCAATGGTCTTGGGATGGCACTTGACCAGGGAACCCACTCGCAAAATTTTGGCGCTGGAGCTTGCCTGGCTGCTGGGTTGAAATGCCCGGAGAAACGAACACACACACACACACACACACACACACACAAACATACACACACAGAAAGCGTCGTTGTAGTATGCGTTTTTGCAATTTGTATATATGCAAAAATGCATAAAAACTGAAAATCATTTAAGCTGGAGATCTATTCGGCCCCATAATGCATCGCAGCCAATGTTTTTTTCCCTTGGAAAAGGCCAAAACACAGCCAACATATGTCAAAGTGTTAAATTACAACGCAGGAACCATTTCTGTCATTAACGATTTGGAAGATTTGCGCAAAAACGCACGATCGCACCGGCAAGCCTGGTGCTTTTAGCCTGGGATTCTAAATGAATTGTAATAAGCTCAAAATCTTCTATACCAGCCTTTATTTGCTAATTTCGAGAGACAAGCTACCTGTTTGACAATGTGCGTAAGCTGAGCGGTTTCGGAAACTGCTCGCTGCTGTGTGGCAATAATATCAAGCGTAAAAACACCTTCCGTGTAGTCGGCTAGCATTGGATCAATGCGAATGTCACCAGTTAATGGCTCCACCGCAAAATATTCTGCTGCTTCTGTTGGCATTCCAGCGTCTTCGGCCCTGCGGGTTCATTCATTCTCCTTGGATTTGCTCACAGCAAAAAACGTGAATTCAAACAAAATTAAAACAAACTCAAAATTATAAAGGCAAAAAACGAACGGAGTGAATTCCACTGAGGCAATCTTATAAATTCTGATTGGTTGATGATTTTTCGGAAAAGCCATCGGAATGGTTTGTTCTAAGTCAATGCCTGGAAAAAGTTCTTTTTTTATATTCCGATTAGAGTGTTAGAACCACTTTACTAGATTTTTTCAGCTTCATATAATGGACTTTAAACAGATTTCTGCTCACGATATATGTACATATAGTGGGTATAAGTCTATCCAAAGTAAATACATACGCATAAATTTGACTACATATATATATATAATCAAGCATTTGGCCGCATGAGTTGGATTTTCGTTTGTTCCCGATTTAAGACTGATACCGTTCTGTAGTTGTATTGATAACATTTTAATTGCTGGCAGTGATCCTATTACTTGAAAAACTTTTAGGAACCCATCCAAAACGACATCGCATTCTAGCGCGCGAGCAACAACGTATGAGTTAGCGGAACTGGCTGCCTGAACAAACACTGGTTTCAGTCATGCATATTTTCATCGATAAAAGCGAAATGTAACGCCATTAGCCACTGCAATAACGTCAGGTACAGATGTGCGATTGGAAGACTTTGATGCTGCAGACGAACCCATCTTCAAAGAGTTAAAGAAACTCTAACAACCTTAGATAACAAACATAAATCGCAGAAAAAGAACATAAATGCATGAAATGAAAAGCAAGCAAAATTACTGTAAATTTTTATGCGTTTTTGCTGTGCAAAATGCACTCGTTTTCCGAACACACACACAAATTACACATGTGGTCGTAAGAAACGTCCTACCCCGTTTTGCTTTAACCTTTAAAAACTGCTTA